CTGAACAACTGTTGTGGTGTATAACTGTTTGTCTAAAATAAAGGATTAGCTAAGTTTAGGATATTCTACGTCCTATTTACAAGGATGCCATGAACTGCGTACAGAACATTTGTACGAAACTTTAAAACATTCAGCTAACTGTACCCGAATAAAGATATATTTTTTTGTTTTTTAGTTATGAAATGATGACGTTTTTCAACTGTGAAAGGTATAAAATAGGCATCTGGGGATCCCTACAAATTTCGAAGTGATATTAAAATTTTGTATCATTATTAAATATCAATTAGAAAGTGTTTTGGTTTGTTTTATTTTGAATATCCGGAAGCTACACGAAAACTATATGCGTTATCCGTCCCTAATTGAACAGTGATAGACTAGAGGGAAGACAGCTAGTCAACACCATTCATCGCCAACTCTTCGAATACTCTTTTATCAACGAATAGTGGGATTAGATGTCGAGTTATAATGTCCCCACGGCTGAAAGGGCGTTGACGGAGATTTGAGCCCACAATAGAAAGTGAATGCTTTTACTCATCAGATATTTGCATTTTTCCAGATCTTTGGTTTTATAGCTGTGTGAATGAATTTATGGGTCATACCACATTAGTTTTTTTAGTTATTTATTATAGTAAGTAATACAAAATTCAACTTTTATATTTTCCAAAAGTCAAATTAATCAAATCCATTTCTGCAAAATATAGAAATTACAAATTTACATTTTATTTTCTCTGGACCATGCATGCGTATCTTAAAATTCATTTTATAGACATAACACACTAAGGCTTAATGCCACAACGGTTTTGTAGCTTCCTTTGAACCGCCACTTTTCACTCATTGTTTGAGAGTCAGGACTTTCATCCACTTTTATATTGTACGAATCTTTTCATAACTGCTGAGTAGGCGGGATAGGCAGATGGTTCCTTGCAATCAATACTTATTCATTGAATTGTCAAGAGAAGAGTTCATTTTATAGTCTTCTTATCAATAATGGTTTCTTGAGACGGTTGTCATGACAACATCTACAATGAATGCATGAATCAACACCATACTTAGTGAAAACCATACTGTGACTTTGTTGACATAAGTAATCATATCCAAGAACCGAGTCATTTGTTGGGTAAAAATACCACAGTTCGACAGACATCGATGTAGCTACTAACAGGTAATATAGATGAAGAGAAATAATGTTGATAAGTGTGAGAACTAAATCATTTTGCAGTCTCGTTTGTGTGATATATATATTCTGTTCATATGCCCGAAGGCTAACTATCATTGTTCAAGCACTGCAATTAACAAATATAAATAAATACTAAAATTGATAGATCAGTAAATAAACGTTGAGACTGATATGATCTTTATCTACTGAAAATATTTTAAAGCCACCATCCGGTTTGTTTGTTAGTTGTCAATGTTATTCTTAAGACATCCAGGCTTCTTGAATGTTTTTAGTGGAAGTAACCAAAATGTTTAGTTTGTTTTGTTGTTTTTTTCCGGGAGTTTATGTTTAGCTTGCTAACTCCTTTCAGCCAAGATGGATATATTACCGGTAGTGAATTTTATATGTGATTAAATGTAGGAGTATACTTTGTTTACCGCATATTTTGTTCTTTTACTCTTTCATTGCGAAATACATTGTGAGATTGTACAATTTTTCAGTTGGATTTTACACTCGTGTTTTCTTCACTACTTTAAGAAGATGTAAATTAAATATGAATCATACTTAATCTTACTGGATAACAAACATCATACCATGACAAGCTAAGATGTATATCACACTCATAAGCCTATTATTTATTAAAGCGAAATAAGTTTTAGACTATTTAATATTTTGTTTTCCTTATGAGAGTGTAGATTTAAAATATTTTATACAACGAGGAGCAGAGGACGGCAACTTTGAGCTATACATATGTTATTACATAACTCCAGGGTAGGGTGAGTGGGAACGAAACTCGCGTGCTAAGAAAGAAAGGTGTGTGAATAAGGAAAACCCACACAGTGCTTTTTCCCACACCTAATGACAGATAAATCTCTCTTGATAACATTCCGTATTATCGATCCTGACTAACCTGATGATTGCTGATATACAATTAAAAGATTTGTTATCTGAGTAGATATATTCGATACTTTGTGTATAGAAATGCGCGAATATGCGCTTTAACGATTATGGATTTAATATAATTTTTGTTAGTTTTATACCTCAAATAACATATAAACAGAAGCTATAAAAATATTATCGACTCCTAGCTTCAGCCTATGGTTATATCTCCCATATTAAACACAGTCTGTAGTATATCACCATTTGGTTGTAACTATATTAATATAGAAACACTTTAAAACTTTTATGTATAACAATTGTAAACATAATTTTCCACCTACAACTGAATGGAATAAGTACTTGCAAAAGTCAGTTTCTCCCATAATACAGCTAATGTTTTAAAAATAAATATTGTGATCTAAAAGTGTAAATGATTATATAAACAAGATAAACGATTCTAACTCTAATTTCAAAGAATCTTTTTTTTTTTTATGTTTTGCTCATCTGTTTTAGGAGATATGCTCCCAATAGTTTTAAATTTTGAGAATACTGAAAGGATATTAAGAACTAGCGAAAGTACCCGGCTTCCCTCGGGTTAGTGGGTTGACATATTCTATATGATTATGTATGTATTCTGAACATATTTTAACATAGAAGAAAAGTCAAAAATAGTTTAAACATTTATATTTCCCAGAAACGTAAAAATACTTCTCTTCTATGTGTTTTTTTTGCTAGCTTGCCTCATTAAACAGTTGCGCACGTGCATGTGTGCACGCACGTGGCTAAGATCGTACCAAGGTGCACACCCTCATGGTCCACTTATTATGTGTGCAAAATTTCAGGTTTCTAGGTTCTTTCCTCTTGAAGCTATAGTGGTCATAGACACGCAAGTACGCACTCGCACGAGCGCACGTGAGTATCGGTCTGTCTATATGTGATTTCTATTTGTAATATAAGAAACTACTTCTTTCCTATGTGGTTTTTCGCTAGCTTGCCTACTTAAAAAGATGCGCACACGCGCACGTGGATAAGTAATACCAAGGTGCACACCCTCAGAGTGCACTTAGTATGGTTGCAAAATTTCAGGTTTCTATGTTCTTTCCTCTTGGATATATGGTGGTCACATATTCTTTCCTATGTGGTTTTTCGCTAGCTTGCCTACTTAAAAAGATGCGCACACGCGCACGTGGATAAGTAATACCAAGGTGCACACCCTCAGAGTGCACTTAGTATGGTTGCAAAATTTCAGGTTTCTATGTTCTTTCCTCTTGGATATATGGTGGTCACATATTCTTTTCTATGTGTTTTTTCGTTAGCTTGCCTCATAAAAAGACGCGCACGCGCAGGTGGATAAGTGATAATACCTAGGTGCATACCGTTGGGGTCCACTTAGTATTGGTTCAAAATTTCAGGTTTCTAGGTTCTTTCCTCTTGGAGTTATGGCGGTTACACACAAACATGCCCTTATATTTTTATAGATAACATTTATCTATGCAAGTTGATCGAACGTTTATGTATAGTTAGAGATATCTTTGCCTTTTTTCGATAAAACAGAGCATGCAGAAGCAAAATTTATGCTTTTTGCTCTATTGAATTGTTTTACAAATATATGTATATATTTGTCACACAAAAATTCACATTCCTAGTTCATAACCATTCATGTTTCTTCAATGTTTTTTTTCTTCAGCAGTTAATTTATTTTGATAGTAAGCAACTATATATTAAAAATACATAAAACGATGTCGTTATTATTAATTCGCGTACGTCATTATATTTATTTCTTTTATTCCCAATCGGACATGGCAAACATGCCGGCTGCGGATATTACTATTTGAGCATGGCAAGCATGCCGGCTGCGGATATTACTATTTGAGCATGGCAAGCATACCGGCTGCGGTAATTACTATTTGAGCATGGTAAGCATGCCGGCTGCGGATACTACTATTTGAGCATGGCAAGCATGCCGGCTGCGGATACTACTATTTGAGCATGGCAAGCATGCCGGCTGCGGATATTACTATTTGAGCATGGTAAGCATGCCGGCTGCGGATATTACTATTTGAGCATGGCAAGCATACCGGCTGCGGTAATTACTATTTGAGCATGGTAAGCATGCCGCCTGCGGACAGAAGGTTCGAGGGTCAGAGCAGGATACCGTGCTTTAAACGAGTGTGTGTTTTCTTATAGCAAAGCCGCATCAGGCTATCTGCTATGCCCACCTAGGGGAATCGAACCGCTGATTCTAGCATTGTGAATCCGAAGACTTACCGTTGTCCCATCGGGGGACCCGTGTTTTAAGCTGCGGGCGCGTTACAAAAGTATTAATCAACCCTGTTATTCAGTTCCAGGAGCTTAACAAAGTTCTTTTATCGCGCGATACTGCTGATAACTGCCCTTCTTCTGGTCAGTAGCTCAAAATTAGGGATAAACGTGCATGAACCCTATGGTGTGATTAGTATTTCAGACTCATAATCGAAAGATTGCGATTCGAGGTCTCCTTGAATAAGGCATTTTACTCAAATTCCTTCAGTTTACCCAGATGCATAATGAGTACAGCAGGAATCTTGGGTTTAACCCGCGATGGATTGGCATTTCATCCATCCAAGGGAGAATATGTTACCATTTTCATCCGTGTGTGCCACAAGAAATCAAACTTAATCGCTGGCCTTATGTGTCTTTCAGGATCAATTTAATTAATTACTTATACCTGAACACTAGGTGTTTCTGATCTGGTCGTTTAATTCATGTGCACGTAAGGTGCTGTCCCGATACTAATTATAGCTAATTATCTAATTGTTTCATATTAATTATATCATTATCATTTTATTATCCTTATTTATCACCTCATTCTGTTCACTGTGTTCGTTTAATTAGGTTTCAAAATAACTTGAGCAAAACCCAAATGAAACTATGAAACCTCTATTCTCAATTTGAAATATTATTACTATAATTCGTATATTTACAGACGAGGATCCTGGAGACCAATTGGTCATATGCGTCCCTCCAGCCCTCTACTGGACAGCGTTAGAGATTCTTTTGAAGGGCACGAACAACTCGCTAAAGATTTTACAAAAGCATTCCAGGAAAACAGACACCTTTGTGACGTAGTTTTCAACGTAGGTCAAGGTAAGTAGGTTGAAACTGTAGGTGTTTATTTCACAAGAAAAATAAACCTTAAAAGTTATTTACAATTCTCGAACTTTCGCGAAAATGTTTTATGTTTGGAATTTTGGAAAGTATGATAGGTGTTTTCAAAGCTCTGTTATGTTAATTATATTTTAATTCCAAATCAAACAAAAAATTGCTAAGGATTTCTTATAGGAAGTAGCTAGCATTGTAAATATTTTGTTTATATAATAAATACAGGCATTCGAGAAAGACCTTAAGAAAAGCGATGCAATTTATGTCAGAGATGTTTCAATCAAAATATATATTGCACAGAAAAAATCTGTTTCTGTACAACGTATATTTTCAGAAATCTATTGTTTTTGTAAACAGGACAAAGTTTTCATCTTCACTAACTTCTTTTTGTCATAATGAACTGATGTCAACATGTGATAGCAATAAATACAAGGTAATATCATAAAACACGATTTCTAAGTATTCAAACTCAAAATAAAGATTTTTTTTTCAGTTCAGACTTTCCAATTTATTTCAGATTTTAAACTAAACTTTAGAACTATTGCATGAAAGAATTATGTTTACTGTCGTAAATGGACGTTTATTTTACAGGAAAAGACAAAAAGAAAGTCTACGCTGTTAGAGCATTATTAGGAGTTCGTAGCAGGTAAGCTGAAAAAGGTTTATACTGTTAAAGCATTATTCAAAGTTAGTAGCTGGTAAGCTGATGGCAGAAGTAAAGGTTATTTGGTGTTACTTTCAGGTTGCTTCTTGTTTTTACCAGTTACCTTGACACCTGTTATTTGCAACACGGTTTACATAAGAACAGCTGTAAGTTATTGGTAACACTTTTCATATATCGCTTGCAGGAATAAAACTGCAGTACGTTTATGATATACTTCTGTGTGAAGTTTTATATCACGCTTGATTCTTATTTTGGGCTGTCTGTAGTACGTTCACAAATATACTCTTTCGATATTTTTGTCCTATACATGTTTTTGCACGTGGCAATTTTGTTCCTGCGCGTTCCGAAAGTGTAGACAGAAATAATTTTCTATAAGCAAAGTATTTTTACATTTTATCTTTTTATCATATGTTTATTTAGGTAAGAAAAAGTGGCTAAGCGGAAATAGCTTTGCCATATGTGTTTCTAGATAGCTCAGTCAGTTGGAGTCCCTGTCTGTTGTTGACTAATGCGGTTTATAAAAATGTGTAAAACACCAAGTTTAGAAAGCTTTGTTTATTTATCATTTAAAGAATAAAGACAAAGCACCAGGAACTCTCACATCATTTCTAAACACGTCGAAAAATCGTTAATGGAGGTCATAGTTGAGTGAAAATGCCAAGTAGGAGTTGAATTTCAAAGATATGTTTAAGTCCTATATATACGTAAAATAAAATAACACGTTTTCTTGTAAAAACTGCAAAATAATAATAATCAACCAACTGAGCTCTTGTTACAAGTGAGTGCTTCTTGAAGAAAGGATTTTATTAGCTTTGGACCAAAAATTCACAAGGTATCTAAATACTTTAAATATACAGTGATTAGAACTGCGTGCAATCAGTTATACATATGTGTATGGTTTGTGCATATAAAAACAAAATATTCAAGCACTTTCGTGCCCTTCACCAGCTCAAAGCAAAATTTGAGGCCAGAAAGTTAATTTGAATCGTACAAATTTCATTAAAGGTACTTTCGTTTATACTACCTATTTCATTAGTCACTATTCAAGAAACTCACATTTGTAAGTCGTATTTGTGTACGAGTATATATTATTTAAAGAACTGTGATAAATCAATTTTCGTCTTTAACTTTAGTGTCAGATATATTCATTGCTTTATTTTTAGAAATAAATGAGTTCATCTACTTCTTTATTTGCACAATCCACTCCCTTACCTATTTATTTGTAGAGTTTTTCTGGAGATGCTCTATGGATTTAGTACTGGATTAGGATCTACATCCAATACCCTTGATCCAAGCAGCAAAATAACAACTTCATCCAGAAGCAAGTCAAGCAACTTTCTCCAGGTATGTGTCCTTATTTATCTCTTCCATTATTTCACCAAACAGTCATCTCGTTGGAAAATGTTTTACTTGTTAATAATAGAAATTATTCATGTATAAGTCAATGTCTTTGAATGAATATGGTGGAAAAACTAGCCATCTTGATTGTATTTGCTGATATTTTTATATTATAGAAGCAACAACTTAACTCAGACTGTTGCTCAAAATAGTATTTTAATCAATTACAGAGAGAGAGAGCAAAAAATATTTAACTGAAACGCTTGTATTGGAACAGTCCAGTAACTGGTGTAGTAGTCATAACAAGATAGTTAATGGTCACAATAGTTCTAGTTTAACGTTACTCAACTACCATAGATATATAGGAACAACTGCTATTTTTTTATTTACCTAGAATGTATCATGTGGAATCCTAAAAGTGAACTATGCCTACTGCTAATATGGAGATTTCTAGTTCATCATTGAATGCACTTATTGCTTTAGTTTATATGGAAAAATTGTATAGTTGTTTTCCGTTTTTTTTTTCATTTTGATTGATATGAAGTTGATTTTTTTTCCACTTTTCAAGCACAAATCAATAACATCGTCGAGGATACGAATGTTTTCTGCTCCATGACGTAAAATAACAAGAAGGGTTTCATATTATTTTTGATATGTGACTGAAAATTCAGTGTAATTAGAATTTTTTCTCTGGAAATAAAAATCCAGGTTTCAAGGTCTACGATTTCGTGGGTATCATTAGTTTATGGAAGAGTTAGTTTCGCATTTACATGACAAGCGGTGTGCCCAACTGCCTCAAGCGGCACCAATTTTCCTTTTACGTCATAGAGAAACAAACAAGCCTCAAGCGACGTTTTCATCCCTGTTACAATGACGTTGAGATGTGACATTTGAGAAAATGAATCCTGTCTGACTTGGCTTGAGAACTGACTCGATTTTCTAATTCGGTTGTTTCAGTCGCTAGTGTGGCAGTTTTAAAGAAATTAAAATATTGATTAAATGTTCTGTACCTTACTCAACACTCTCTATTGATTACTTGCATACCATGACTTTCACAAATAGAGCTTAAGCAATACCTGCAAAATCACACTATAGCCTAATCAGTATAATCACACAGAAGTCTAAAAATCCATTAAAAGTATGCAGCTGATGTTTTACCCAAACACTTGAAAAATATTTTGTTTTACACTAGGGCGATTTATGTTTTCTTTAAAGCGAAACACAGCTAATGTTACCATAATTTGAAGAGATATTATTAAAACTACATATATAAGATATATTATTAAGACTACATATGTATTAGGTCGTCAAGAAATGAATGTCGCGTGTTTTGAAACACTTTCATTATCCCCCAACCCCCAAAAAAACAACAACAAAAAACGTACATCACGTATAATAGTTAAACGAACCGCCTAAACGTCACGTTAGTGTAGCCTATGACATGTGCAAAGTTTAATATACTCTAGTCCCTTATAGTGATGGCACACGACGAGACACACATTGGGCATGTAATGCCGTTTGAATACAAGAAAGGAATACAACGCCTCTGTAGCCACAAAGAATATCAAAGAAGTTTATGGAAATGTTTGGAACGTTCGTAAGTGTCGACGATGGTTCAGCAAATTTCTTTCAGGTGACTTTAGCCTTAAAAACTGTGATGGCAGGGGCCGACATGTTGGAATTGATATTGGTGCTCTGAAGACTCTTGTTGAATCTAACCCAAGGCAACACACTCTTGAAATGGCCCTAAAATTGCATGTCTCTCATGAAAAAAAACAAAAACATCTAAGGAATATGGAAAAACTCCATAAAGAAGATGCTTGGGTGCCTCACGAACTCTCCGATGATCATCCTTTCTAACATGTGAACGCTGCTTCGTCTCTTCTGGTGCGTAATGCGCGTGTACCATTTTTGGACAAAATTGTCACCGGTGATGAAAAATGGATTCTCTATACGAATATCAAACGCCAAAAACAATGGCTCAGTCCCAGACAAAAAACACTTCCGACCCCAAAACCTGGACTCCATCCGCAGAAAGTGATGCTTTGCATTTGGTGGAACATCAAAGGAGTAATTCATTTCGAACTCCTCAATCCACAACGAACTGTCAATGCAGAGAACTATAGTCAGCAACTGGAACGTTTAAATCAAGCCCTTCATCAGATATTTAAATATTTATAATATGTTTTATTCTATATACAACAACTATTTCCAGTTCACAAAGTCTACTCATACAGTCTGCAACAACATTTGCAGTTCACTTGTGGTAGATCTGGAGATACAATGTCCACACAATGACCCTCACATTGTCGATGTTGCACCTCTGGATGTATGCAAGGGGCAGATGGTCCGTCTGGATGATGAACTCTTTCCCATAGAGGTAGTTCTGGAATTTCTAGATGGCAGATATGATGATCAGACACACTTGTTCAATCACAGAGTATGAAATAGTTCTTCTCACTATTCAACAGCTTTTATTGACGTACATTATGGGAAACAGTTCGTTTACAGAAGTACTGCTCCAATTCCAACATCTGATGCATCAGCCTAAATGATGAACGATTTGTTGAAATCTGGCATTATAAGGATTGGCGAACTTCCTACTTTTTTCTTTAATTTTTGTAATGCCATTTGCTGTGGTTGTTCCCACTTAACCTTGTTATGTTGGCTTTTCTTGGTCAGGTGTGTCAGTAGTGGAGTGACCTTAGCATAGTTTTGGATGGACTTCCTATAGTATCCCACTAACTCCAGGAAGAATCTCACTTGTTGCTTGGTCTTCGGACTACAACGTCCATAACAGAATAATTGACGTAGCACTTAGATAGTCTGATGATCAGACCTGCTGTCCTCACTCATCCGAATAATTCTCTGCGTTTCTTCAGGTGATCTTCCCAGGTCTTGTGTAACATCTTCCTCATCAGGTGGTTGAATGTCGCTGCTGAGTTGACTAACCCAAACAGCATCCACTTGAATTGGTATTATCCGTTTGGTGTCGCAAAGGCTGTTTTCTCGATGGGGACAGGAGGGAGGCCGATCCTAGAAAAGAAAAAGAACTTGGCCCTATCTAGTTTCACCATGATAGTCTCTGTGTTGCACATAGGTTCGGAGTCAAATTTCGTCAAAAGGTTCAGCTTCTGGAAATCTATACAGAAGTAGTTTGAGCTGTTACTCTTCTTCACGATTACCACTAGTGAACAGTAGGCTGAATTCGAAGGCTCAATGATTCCAGCTTTTAACCTTGCCGAGACTCCTTGCTTGATCAGGTCTCTCATTGCATAAGGCAACTGGTAGGATTTCACCTTGACTAGATCCATGGTCGTCGTCTTTATCTTGTGTTGTATGGGGTTTGTCTTGCCTGGCATACTGGCACAGTAGATCTTGTAACTCTTTCTTCTGCTTGCCAGTAAGTTCTTCACTGATGTTGACGTCTTTGTACATCCCATGTCCACCCAGTGGTCTTACGTCTAGTAGGTCTTCATCTTCTTTGACAAAGTCACTATCTTCTGGTTCTGCGTCTATCATAGCCACACCTGCAATGTCCATCTGTGCCTCAATAGCTATACCCGTTAGGTATTCTCCCCTCTCAAATTACCTCTTCAAAAGGTTCGCGTGGTAGATCTTGACCTTCCCGTTGACTTTCACTCTGTAGTACATTCTGTTGACCACTTCCTGCAATTGAAAAGGTCCTTTTCATTGCAGGGTAAGTTTGTTGTTGCCTGTTGGTAGCAGAACCACGACCTTCTGTCCGACTTTGAAACATTGATCCTTGGCATTCTTGTCATATAAATACTTCTGACTGTTTTGAGCTGCATATAAATTTTCTCGAACAAGTTGACAGATCTCCTCCAGTCGGATTCTAAGGTCTAACATGTTCCTCATTTCTGACTGATCTTCTCTTGTCTACAGATCTTTCAATACGCATAAGACCTCGTACTGTTCTTCTCTACAGTAACTCGACGGGTGAAAATCCTGTACTTGCTTGTGGAACTTCTTGGTAAGCAAATAATACTGCCTGCAGGTACCTTTCCCAGTCACGTAGTCTCTCCTGGAAAATCTTCTTCACCATACTCTTTAAGACTCGACTGACTCTTTCACAAAGTCCATTACATCTGGGGATGTATGAGGTGGTAAAGAGCTGCCAAGTACTGATGAGTCTGCACACCTTTTGCATCAGTTCTGAAGTAAACTGGATTCCTCTGTCAGTCAAGACTTCTTTTAGAAAGCTCACTCTGTAGAACACTTCCAGTAGGGCTTCTGCTATTCTCTCCATGTCTATCTTCAATAGTTCTATGGCTTCTGGATAACGTGTCACATTGTCGACTACTGTCAGTACGTACTGGTTTCCCTTGTCAGATACAGGTGCTAGTTGCCCAATAAAGTCCACAGCTACTCTGCTGAACGGATCTTATATGAGAAACATCTCACCCAGTGACACCTTGGCTACCTTCACTCTATGTATTGTCCTTTAGCAGATGTCACATTACCTGCAGAATCTGGTCACATCGCCGATGACGCCCAGCCAATGGAAGTTGCTAGTGATCCTGTCTGCTTATAACGCTAAAAACCGTGTTTCGATAACCATGGCGGGTACAGCACAAATAGGCTATTGTCTACACGAATATACCCATAACTTCACGACTGTTACATATACACGTCAGGAAAAGTAAAAGTTCTTATAACTTTTTAAATTTATCAGTAGAGTACCAAAAATATTTATAAAGTGAGAGTATATTTCGAGTCGCAAAACGTTTTTGGTTTTATATTAGCATTCTAATGTACTTTTATATTCGTAAAGTAAGAACTGATTTTCTTTATTTGATTTATAGTATTTAAATCATCTTTAACACATTAATGTTTACATAAACTTTGTAAACTGTTATTTATAATAATGATATAGATCATACTGAGCAACTTTATACAAAGCCACCACAACGAAAAGAAAGAAGACAAAACGAATCCTTACCGTACGGAAAATTTTATTTTATTTAAAATATTAGGCAGGTGGCAGCACTGCCTATGTAGAGATGGCTCCGATTGTTCATCGAAATGATATTTTAATTATCTTCTCAATAGGTCTTCAGAACTTTACAATACTATACAGTGTTTCCTTTTATAACAATATCTATGTAGTGATTGAGTCACAAGTTCTGGGAATGTCTGTAAATATCATAGCAAAAAGTTTGAATTTCTTGTTCTTCTGTTTCTTTTTCATTACATGATAGCTCAAATACTAAAACAATGGTTTCGACCAATTGCACTGAGGTGACATTGGTTCAAACGGAGTATCCGCTTTTGTAAGTATTATTAACTAGTAGTAATAAAAAAACTCACAATTCTAGTGTAAACGATGCTATCATTACCCCTTTAAGTTACCTTTATTACAGAAATTTTATATTCCTCCAAAAAGCTTAAGTACGAGGTGAAACAGGACTTACCAGGCAATAACAGATAAACAATAAATATTACAGTTAGAACCTCATTGTATTTAAAACTTTATTATAAATACAAGGTTCCTATGTCTATTGAAACACTACGTTAAAAACAAGTAAACAAGTAAAGAAAAAAACTAAAAAATAAGAGAAACAAATGTAGGGATGGCTAATATCAATCCTTCAAAAACAATGTAAAAAGATAGTAGGGATGACATTTGCGAGAATTAACATATAGCAATATATATATATATATATATAACTATTCAATCACAAGTGAGTTTAATTTATCCTATTTTTGTTTGTTAACATTCTACTACACTGTGTGTCTGTATTATGTAGGGATGATGCAACTGCCATCCATACTATCTTGCTTGCATTGTTTTTGAAGGATTGATATTAGGTATCCCTACATTTACTTCATTTTTTAAAATTTTTTCCTTACTTGTTGAGCTTAAACTAATAGAAATAGTTTAATGACTCCAACTTCAGGTATGTCTGATATTTGAAACTAAGTCAGGATTCCGTGAACAAATATATTTTGTAAAAATTTACTGCAGCATTTAAAATTTTCAATCTGAACAGCACTCTATGTAGAACATGGGATAAATGGTCAGGTCAGCATGGAGCATACTCTGTGAATTTCAGTAGAAATCAACCTTTTATTATGTTTTCTAGGTGCCGCAGATGCATGAGCCACGGAACAAGAGTGTTCCCTCTAGCCCTATGGTGTTCCGAGCATTTTCTCGGCTCGGCAGTTGGGCAGGCTGGGGTATGGGCAGTAGGAGCAGTAGCAAGGATCGACTTAGTACTGACAGCGGCTACTCCAGCGGTGGGCTGAAGCGGTGGCAAAGTGGCAACAGTAAGTTTCTGTGATAAAACATTATAATATACAACCTTTCCACAGGAGGGGGCGGGGTGTTCTAGGTTAGCTGTCTTCAGCATTCACAAATACTTTTTTCTTCATTTGCTACAAATTTACACAAAATATGTAAAATGCCTAAGTGAAACTGATTAGTGACGGTCTGGAAATCTTAATAATTTGTCCTTAAATCCTGCATATTTTGGAAATTTAAAAGGATTTATAATTAAATGAATTGTTTTTATCCGTTCTGTAGAATTGTTTTGTTTGTTTTTGTTTACCTGTTTGCTTGTTTTTGGTTTTGTTTGTTTTTGAATTTCGCGCAAAGTTACTCAAGGATTAGCTGCTTTAGCCATCCTTAATATAGCAGTAATAGACTAGAGGAAAGGCAGCTAGTCAATACCATCCACCGCCAACTCTTGGACTATTCTCTGACCAACGAAAAGTTGGATTGAATGTGACATTACAACGCCCTTACGGCTGGAAGGGCGAGTATATTCGGTGAGAGGATTCCAACTCGTAACTCGCCAATTGTGAATCGAGTGCCTTAACCACCGGGTCTTGTTTGTTTTGATAGACGAAAACACTATTCATATATGTATTTAATTTCTCTATAATTCTATTTCAAAACAAATGTAAGTGTATATGTGTATTATGTTATAAAACAGTAAGTGTGATGCAATAAGAATTATTGTCATTAATATACATACATATTATTCTTAATGATTCACGATTGATGTTCATTACATAACCAAAAAAGAAGATATAGATGTGTTATTTATTTTGTAACAGATGAGATTAAATGTATGTATAATTTTCTTAAATGAATATGAAAAGCAAACTTTATTATTCATACCTGTCCAAAAAGAATAAAAAAAAAACATTAGTTGGGATGTTGCTGGCTCCAGCTACAGTTTGATTTGATTAATATAAAATCTTTTTCCTCTAGGACTGTAACTTAATTTTGCATGAAATGATTTCTCGCATATTACTTCCGCCCTATTGAATTTCTGGCGCTACTAAGTTTGGGTCTTGAAATTAATTATTTTGATGTCAATTTCATTGCTTAGCCAATGGGACATCCATAATGAATTTACCTTCTAGCTATATTTTCTGTCTTATACATAAAGTATACTCTTCTACTGAGGTAGAGGTTTTTCGGTTGTATTATGAATTGTGAATTTTGGAGTTTACCGATCAAAAATTATCTTCAAATTCAGTTATGTTTTGCGTATTTAATCATTACATCTGTCAATTGTTATATAACAACTTGACAAGATTGATTAGCTTTAAAGTACTGTGGTATACTAAATTCTTTGTTTCTACTCTGTTTCTTATTTAGATACCTAAATATTTATGAATAAAACCAAAAAATTGTTATATGTATGATTTCAGACAAAGACAAATCTGACAAGGAAGATAACTCCATGGTATGCGATTCTGGAGTTGCCTTGAGCATGTGTGCAGATGCTCACAAAGTGGACAGAAATAAACTTTGCCAATCAGAGGTAGATGTAGAATAATTGTATCTTACTATTAAGTATAACACAGCTGTCTTTCAGAAAACATAACACTAACTTATTGAGTTAAAGTAAAAAATATCATAGGTTTTTTTCAGTTAACATAACTTCTATTTTTATGCAAGTATATGTATGTAACATTTTGAATTGGTTTATCATTATGTTTTTGGAGTAAGTATTTAAATTTGGAAGTATGTAGACCATTGTTTCGTTTTGGATATAACACTCAAGCTTTGTACTTGTTAATTTGTACCTTATCGAAATTTCTAACCAATATAGAAAACGGTATTTCATGTAGAGACGAACGTTCATTAGAATAAATCAAGCAATGCTTAAATCCAGTCCTTAGCAATCCATTTTTCAGAAATGCCATTTGAAATATTATTGGACTTTCTTTTTATTTGTTCTTTAGCAGAAATAATGTAAAATTAGATTGTAATATAAACTTTAATAATGATATTCTGTATAGCTTAATCCTACCACTTGGTTTGTAAGTATACAATTTCTATACATAAAACTTTAGTTCATGTAGAAACCAGTTAATACTTAGTTCTTTTATAACACTTAACCTCTCTTTTGTTCTCTTCAAATAAGATTAACATTTCGTTTTTCATTAAAAAAATATCGTTAATATAGACAGCTACACCATGAATTACTGAACATGCAATAGCTGGAATTCACATAATAAAGCCAAACGACTGGGTGGCTATAAAGAAAGTTTTACAGTTCATCGGGTCATAGCTCAGAAACAGTATGACATAGTAAGGTTAAATTGCGCAATGAATGTTAAGGATATAATGTGGACGCAAATACCTCAGTTATTATATGTTGCCGCAAGGGGCGCCACTATGACCTTATGTCTGATCAATCACAGCAACTCTTCAAAATGTCCTCCTCCAGCGTCCAGAATGCATTGCGATCTTGTTACAACGGACATTAGAGCAACAGAGCAAATCCCATCTGGTATGTTGGCCGCTTTCCGGACAATTGAATCCTTGAGGTATAGAATTGGGTGAGGTTTCCCATGGTACACGTTCGGTAAACGAGGTTGCTATTCACAAGGGAAATGACTTGAAATGATTCTGTAGTGAAATTGCTTCCCTCCCCCCTGCAAGATGTGATTCACCTTGTTACTAATATGGGGAGAAGCAGTATCCTGCATAAAACCGTATCACATCTCGTTGCTGCAGCATGGGAACCAAATAGGTTATGAGCACTGAATGGTATCGTGCAGCACTGAATGTGCAGTTTTGCAGTTTATATGTTCATGTTTTTTTTGTTTTTTAAATTATGATACAATAACAAACTCAGCTGTGAAATCTCACCACACTGTTACCTTAGCATCATGGGGGTGTGCAGGAAATGCCACATGTGGATTAGTTTCCAACCAGATAATGTAGTTGGATAACAACACGCGTGTTGATACTTCCAAGAAGGGTAAAGTGTGTTTCATCAATTCATAAAATATTGGTAGGTCATTCGTCATCGACTCACAGTCTTTCCAAGAATTGCAACACAAAATCAACACATTGGTTTAAATACGTCTTCTTCAGTACTTGAACATGATGCAGCTTGTAAGGAAACACCATCAAAGAATCTAACGAATAGTTGTAATTGACAAATCCAGACACCGGGCGAGACAACGTGCATTGTTGTAACCATGTGCACTTGTTCTGATTAATTCTCCTGAGGTACGGCTGACATCAGCGATAGTTTCAGTAGGTTTCGGTGGTCTGCCTTTATGTCGCTGATCACAAGTGCAACCTCTTTCCTCAAGTCTTTTATGAGCTTACGAACAACAACACTGGAACAAGATCCCCTACAGATGTTATGCACTCTACAGTATTTCCTGACAGCTGTCTTAGCATTACATCCTTTGGTGTAATAACATTTCACTAGTTCGTACCTTTATACAAACATATGCTGCACTACAGTAGACAGGTCAATTGATACTTATGGGATATATGAGATATAAATTACAGTGGCACTACTGTTGGCAACACGTGCCAACTTTGGCATTTCTAACTGCACGCATGACACCCTGAACCTCTATACAAACATATGCTGCACTACAGTAGACAGGTCAATTGATACTTATGGGATATACGAGATATAAATTACAGTGGCACTACTGTTGGCAACACGTGCCAACTTTGGCATTTGCAACTGCACGCATGACACCCTGAACATGTATGTGCAATTTAATCTTCTTACATCATAGCAGTTGAGATATGACGCGCTGAACTGCCAAACTTTCTTTGTAATCACCCTCTATACCTGTGTTTGGTGTTAAGGATTTAAATCATTTATATATATACATTGCTTTCCACAAGCCTCTATCTAAAAGGAAGAACAAATAGGTTAATGGCGTTTAGTTGATACTAAATAAAAAAAAGTTTTATATTATCACTTCTAGAAATTAGTTTTTTAACAACTGAAATATCTTTTGAGATTAGCTGGAATATCATATGCACCATTTACCGTTTATTTTCAGTTTAATATAATTGAGTTCGATTGCGACACATTCCATACGTTGATTGAGTACCTCCACACTGGCTCTTGTATCTTGACATGTAACTCCATTCCTGGCCTTATATGCGCAGCAGAGCATTACGACCTACCAGAGCTCCTCCAAGCTTGTTTCCACCACGCCAAACAACATTTGCGCTTAACAGTGGTGAGGACTTTTCTTTGCTAATAGATATTAAACTTTTTATAATGACGTAATTAACTGTCTCGTTATAATTTGGTAAACACCTACATTTTAGGACAGTCATTGCCAAATATATAAATTTATACTGTTATTTTGACTGACTCGTCAGGTCAACTTGTATAATTAATTATTTATTATAAAAAGCAAATAAGATATTCGTACAAGTTGCCAAAACTTACTGTGCGTAACTAGAATGCATAAATTAAACAAGAAATAAAAATATACAAATTATTTAGCTGAAATAAATTTATTCAGACAAAACGTAAGTGTTAAACATACAACAAAGTCATGTGTGCAAACTGAGTTTAGCGTAAGTAATCAAGCCTTCACCATTAAAAATATAATAAATATTTACAATTTATTTGAAAAATGATGGAGAGTAACAAATGAAATTGTTTCATTTTCTGTTTTAGTTAGAACTGGAAAGTTCGCGTATAAAGTTTTTCAACTACTTCGCTTCTAAGTGAAGACTGACTTAATTTACTTATATCTGAATCAATCTGGACAGTCTATCTAAGAATGTAAGACAAGATGCAAACTAGGCATGAAAATTATGCTAAACTGAACAATGCTTGCATTAAAGATGAAGAGAAATATTCCGTATGTATTTCATAGCCAACTCAAATGTGGGTCCTCTTATGTATTAACAGTATAGGAAACTCGTGCGAAGTACCTGTTTATAAGAATATCACAGAAAATATGTTTCTGGTTTTAACATGTTGACAGGCGTACGGCTTAAAGCTTTTGTTTTAACCTGAAACAACATGATAAACAGTACAAATTAAATGGTAGAATTTCGAAATAGTTATCAATACACTCATATAAATTATCTGCTATGGGTTGTCTGTAAGCCTTAATACTGAAACATTAAATATGCCTTTATTTCCCAAAAATCTTAATTAATATCTTAAAATAGAAGATTCAGACTGTAGCTCTAACATACCACACTGTATAAATTATAGGCATTGGATAGTTATTCTAAAACACCTTTAATTCATGATAAGAACACCACTTTAGAAATAGATGGTATAGTTAAATTTTAACTCACAGTTTACAGAAGTACTTGTAACTTAAACGTAAAAGTATTCTTCAAAAACAACTCTACATGACACTTTGTGTAATTCACTCATTACTAAGGGAGTTACTGTAATTGGCATTATCTTGATAATGAAATATGCATATTTTAGAGGGTTCGAGATCACTGAGTCACATCTAGACCCCGTTATGTTTTCAAGTTGAACCAAGCTTTGTGTCTTGGTCATGTTCTAAGCAATTGTCCAAATTTATTCATCAGTCTCCAGCTATTATTATTCAGTAGTGCTCGAATTTTGATCGCCACGTATTTTATCTGAATTGTAGCACCCAAAAAACTTTTAACAAAAAATTTCATTCTTTCAGGTGTGCTCCATGCTAAATATCTTAGAGAACTACTACTGGCGATACAACTCAGCGTCAGAATTAGTAAACATGATACTCATGTTTATCGACACTAGGGCGGCGCAGCTATTCTCGCGCCAAG